ACCCTCTCTCTGCCCCCCTCCCCAGGTAGACAGTGTCCGGCTGACTTTGCCTGTGCAGTTGCAGATGGGGGCGGTGAAGGTTTTCCGCAGCGGCCTGGCCACTGCCCTGGAGACGGATTTCGGTTTGTTCCTGACCTTTGACGGGGAACATTACGCATCGATCTCGGTGCCCAGCTCCTACCGGAACAACACCTGCGGCCTGTGCGGCAACTTCAACAACTATCCCGGAGACGACAACCTGCTCCCGGGGGGAATGCCCTCGGAATCAGTGGCAGAGCTGGGCAGTTCTGGCAGGTTCTGCCATCACGGCTGTGCCCCGAACTGCAGCAGCTGTAGCCCGCATTCCGAGTCTACCTTCTCCACCAACCAATACTGCGGCCTCATCAACCAAACCGATGGACCTTTCCGGGACTGTCGCACTCTGCTGGACCCGAGCAGCTTCATCAGCAGCTGTGTGTATGACCTGTGTGCCAACGCAGACAACTTCAGCAACATCCTGTGCCAGGCCATTCAGGCCTATGCCCTCAGCTGCCAGGTCGCAGGGATCACCATCGGCCGCTGGAGAACCCACACTTTCTGCGGTAAGACTCGGGAAACGGGGGCGGGAGGTTTGACGGAGAATGTGTGTTTTTGACCCGGTTTAAACTTTTCCTCCGGTTTGAAACATGTTTCCATTTCTCCTGGTATCCACTGGCTCGAGGCGGAGAATGACTTTCATCAGCTGAAGAACGGCATTGTAACTAAAATAAATTCTATGATTAGAGACAAAAAAAAACCCTGCAGATGCTGGAATCCAGGGTAGACAGAAGGCTGGAAGAACACCGCAAACCAGGCAGCATCTGGAGGGAAGAAGGGTATCACCCTCCTTCAGGACTGAATGTGGGGATAGGGGAGCTGCAGATAAAGGCACCCCTAGTAGGTAGTTCCTGTTTGGTGAATGGGAGGGATGAATCCAGTAGGTGGCTGGAAGGGAGGGTGAGAAGGTGGAATGGAAGGGAGGAGGTAGGGCTGGAAAAGGAGCGGGGGATGGGTAGGAAGGTTATTTGAAATTGGAGAATTCCGTGTTGAGTCCTCTGGGCTGTAATGTGCCCAGGCAGAAGATAAAGTGTTGTTCCTCAAATTTATGTTCTGAAGCACTGCAACATGGGAGGAGGCTGAGAATGGACATGTCAGAGGGGGAGTGGGGGTGGTTGAATTGGGCAGAGACCGGGAGGTTAGGTTGGCCGTTATGGGCCAGGCAAAGATGCTCGGTGAAACGGTCACCTAGTCCACATTTGGTCTCACCGATGCAGAGAAGACCACATCAGGAGCACCAGATGCAATAGACTGGGTTGGACGAGATGCAGATGAATCTCTGTCTCACCTGGAAGGACTGTTTAGGGCCCTGGATGGAGGTGAGGGAGGTGGGGTGTAGGCAGGTGTTGCACCTTTTAGATTTACGGGGGAGGTACCGGGAAGGGGGGGGGGGGATGCTGGAGCAGTTGGTGGGGAGTGTGGTGTGAACTAAGGGGTGGCGAAGGGAATGGTCCTTGTGGAAAGCAGAGATGGGTGGGGAATGGAAGATGTTCTGGGTGGTGGGGTCTAATTGCAGTTGGCAGAAGTGTTTGAGGATGATACATTGGATGTGGAGGCTGGTGGGGCAGTAAGTGAGGACAAGGGGGACCCTATCTTTATTAAGTTTGGAGGCAGGGGGTGGTTTAGACCTGCGGAACAGGGAATACAGGAGCACAGTGGAGGGCTGTCTGGATTACATGGGGTGAAAAGGACATTGTTTGAAAAAGGAGGACATCCGGGACACTTGGGCATGGAACATCTCCTTGTCAGAGCAGATGCGACAGAGGCCGAGGAATTGGGAAAATGGGATTGAGTTTTTGCAGGATATAGGGTGGGAGGAGGTGTAGTCTCGTTAGCTATGGGAGTCTGTGGATTTAAAGTAAATGTCGGTCCATAAACTGTCACCAGAAATGGAAATGGAGAGGTCAAGAAAGGGGAGGGAGGTGTCTGAGATAGACCATGTGAATTTGAGAGTAGGGTAGAAGTTGTTAGCGAAGTCAATGTACGTTCCAAGTTTGTTTTGGATAAGTCCATGGCACTTCTTGTGCTTCATCTGCTAATTCCCTACCGGACACGTCCACCTTTTGAGTTCCCATCTTCTCCATTGATTTTTCAGTTTTTATCATCATTCGTCAATATTATCTTTTGGTTACTTGTCTTGAATTTGTTACCCAGATCTTCTTATAACATTCTGAAGATGCTCAGTGCCAGGTACCATTGCAAATAGAGTTAAGGAAAGGTTAGAAACTAAGGATAAAGGGTGCAGGAGAAGCAAATCAGGGCCAGGACTAAATGCACTTAATGGTAAGGTCCTGGGGAATGTTACCAAATAAACATCTTGGAGTGCAGGTTCATAGTTCCTTGAAAGTGGAGTCCTAGATAGACAGGATAGTGAAGAAGGCATTTGGCATGCTTGCCTTCATTGGTCAGTGTATTGAGTATAGGAGTTGCGGCTGTACAGGACATTGGTTTGGTGTTAGTGGGAGGAGGTTGAACCCCTCTGATAATTAAAACCAAAACACCCTGAGAAGCTAGCCTCACCTCGTAATCGGCTAAAGGAAACGGGAAAATGGTATAAACTGCCTTTCACCTCCCAATCCAGATACTCACTTCATAATCAACAAGTAACAATTTATTTATCTAACTCTAACAGTGAACAAATTAACACACTTACTAACAAACCTAACTATTCCCAAACAGAACAAAATTCTAATGGTATGCCATTCCAATAAATCCCACTTATATAAACCAAAGTAATAAAAATAAATTAAAACTTAGACTCTCAAAATTACAGTTAGGGTGCATCTTCCAGAATGTTCAATGCCTTTTCCGCTATTCTTCAGTCAGGAATTCTTTCATCATCGAATCCTTATGTAAGGAATATTAGCTAAGAGTGCTATGGTACCTTCTAGATGGTGCTTAATCAGAGAGCTCAAAGATTTCTGTGGGAGCCTGAGTTTTACTCTTCCGACACAGTTCACTCTCACTGATTTTCAAAAACCTTTTTCTTAAATACCCTTTAACCTGTCAATTTTCTTATAATAGGATTGGTCCTAGATTTAAATTTAATTGGGTTTTGGTATCAAGGGCCTGGTTTAAATTGGCTGATATTCAGGCTGGTTTCCTTAACATCAAAACAAGTCTAGGTTGCCAACCACACACCCAATTGATAAATACTTTCTGTGCATCTGCAGTTGCTTGCACACACTTTTTTTTTAATCTCCAAGTTAGAAAAACACATCACATCTTAAAGGGACCATGTACTCTTCCCTCCCACCGCCACCCCCCCCACCCCCCAATCATTTTTACAAATTCTAATATCCTGCCTTCTAATTCACAAATAGTCCACCCAACTTCACTAATTAGGCCACTCTTGGAACACTGTGTTCAATTCTGGTCTCCCTGCTGTAGGAAAGATATTATGAAACTAGAAAGGGTTCTGAAAAGATTTACAAAGATGCTGCCAGGATTGGAGGGTTTGAGCTTTTGAGCTAAAGGGAGAGGCTGAATAGTCTGGGGCTATTTTCCCTGGAGCGTCAGAGGCTGTGGCGTGACATTACTGAGGTTTATAAAATCATGAGGGGCACAAATAGGGTGAATATTCAACGTCTTTTCCCCAGGGTAGGGGAGTCCAAAACTAGAGGGCATAGGTTTAAGGTGAGGGGGAAAGATTTAAAAGGGACCTAAGGGGCAACTTTTTCACACAGAGGTTGGTGAGTGTATAGAATGAGCTGCCAGAGGAAGTGGCGGAGGCTGGTGTAGTTACGTTTAAAAGGCATCTGGATGGGTATATGAATAGGAAAGTTTTAGAGAGATATGGGCCAAATGCTTGCAAATGGGACTGGATTAATTTAGGATACCTGGTTGGCATGGACAAGTTAGACCAAAGGTTCTGTCTCTATGATGTACATCTCGATGACTCTATGACTCCATAAGAAAGGGAGACAAGTAAGAGGAGGTGAGGGGAGGAGTGAACCAAAAAAAAGGTAGGATGCATAAGTTAAGGAGAATGAAAAGGCAAGGAGAAAACAAAGAGGGCTGAGGATTGGATAGGGAAAAGGGGGTAAGGGAAAGACAGAGGAGAAATGAGATTAAAAAATTATTTATATGATGCAGTTAAATGGGGTGGAGTGAGACAACTGAGAAATGGGAATGAGATGAGATTATGGGGAGAGTAGGGAAGAGAGGGACTGGAGACAGTGCCAATCAGTGGCCTGTACCTGGAAAATGTGAGTGTATGAGGAGCAAATACCTAGAGAGTACAACAGAGGGAATGGCAGTGAGGGAGGGGTAGGCTCTGTCACCTTCAATGACTTCTGCAAACATGCACCCAAGTCTTTCTGCTCTTGCACTTCCTTTTTAGAGTTATACCTACATTTTATATTGTCTCTCCATGTTCTTCCTATCAAACTGTGTCACCTCTGTCTTTTCTCCGCATTGAACCTCATCTGCTACCTATCCACCCACTGCACAAACCTGTCTGTGTCCTGTTGAATTTCTACACTTTCCTGCTTTTGGTTCGTAATGCTTCCACATTTTGCATTATCTGCAAATTTTGAAACTATACAACAGGATCTAGGTCATTCATACAGTATGACAGGGAAAGCAAGGGTCTCAAGTCTGACCTCTGACGAACTCCACTCCAAACCTCCCTCCAGCCCAAGAAGCATCTTTTAAGACTTATTCTATTTCCTGTCATCAGTCATCTAATTTTAAATTAATGAAGCTGTTGTCCCTTTTGTTCCATGAGCTATAAATTTGATCACGATTCCCTTATGGGATACTTTATCAAATGCCTTTTTGAAATTCAAATAGACCACAGCAAAAGCATTACCTACACAAATTCTTTCTGTTGTCTCCTTAAAAAATTCCAGAAGGTTAAACAGAATTTCCCCTTAAGAAATCCGCAGTTAACATGCATTTGTCTATGCAGCTATTAATTTTATTCAGAATTATTGTTTCGAGAAGGTTCTCTGCCACTGAAGTTAAAATGGCTAGCCTGTAAGTGCTGAGGTAACCTTTATAACCTTTTTTATTTGTGATGTTTGCAATTTTCCAATCCCGAGTATTAGAAAAACTGAAAAATTATGGCCAGCGCCTCCACAATTTCCACCCTAACTTTGTTCAATATTCTTGGATGTATCCCCTCCGGTCCTGGTTCCTTATCAGTTTTAAGTACCGACAGCCTATCCAATATCTTCTGATTTTTTTCTAAATTATCAGCCCTTCTCATGGTGAATTTCCTTCTCTTTCCCATGTCCTGCGAAACATCTTCTTTCTTAGTGAAGACAGATACAACATATAAATTTAATAACACAGTTCTGAGGAAGGGTCACCAGACCCAAAACGTTAACTCTGACTTATATTCACAGATGCTGCTAGACCTGCTGAGCTTTTCCAGAAACTTCTGTTTTTGTTTCTGAGTTACAGCATCTGCAGTTCTTTCAGTTTTTATATATTTAATACCTTAGCTATGCCCTCTGACTCCATGCATAAATCCTTTTTTGATCCTTAATCAGCCCCATTCTTCCTTTTACTATTTAGCTACCTACAGAAGACTTCATAATTCATTTTTATATTAGCTGACAGTGTCTTTTCATTCTTTCTATTTGTTTTTCTTGTTTTCTTTATCACTATCCCTTTGAACATTCAATATTCACTCTGATCTTCAATTGTACTTTCCACTGACACTGTTATTTTATCTTTGACACGTTTTCTCCTTTATATTAATTTCAGTCTCTGTTGTCACCCAGGGAGCTCTATGCCCTACCTTTCCCTTTTAAGGGAATATTTCTTTAACTGTACCTGAATTATTCTTTCTTTGAAGATAGTCAGTTTTTCTGTCAGCTTTTGACTCCAGTTTATTCAACCCAGAATCATTCGTACCCGATTGCACCTGGCTTTCCTGCAGTTTTTTCACAGAATCCCTACAGTGTGGAAATAGGCCATCTGGCCCAACAAGTCCACGCAGCCCCTCCAAACAGCATCTCAGACCCATCTCTCTTGTAACCCTACATTTCCTGTGGCTAACACACCTAACTTATACATCCCTGAACATAATGGGCAATTTAGCATGGCCAATCCACCTAACCTGCACATCTTTGGACTGTGGAAGGAAACTGGAGCACCTGATGGAAACCCATGCAGACACGGGGAGAATGTGCAAACTCCACACAGACAGTTGCCTGAGGGTGGAATTGGACCCGGGTCCCTGTTGCTGTGAGACAGCAGTGCTAACCACTGTGCCGCCTGTTAATTATTCTTACTCTAGGTTGTTCTTTGTCCTTTTCCATAGTCAGCAAAAACTTACTAATACAGTAATCACTATCTGTTAAATGTTATCTGATTGACACTTGATGTATTTGGTCCACCTCAATCCCAAGAAGCTGGTCTAGCAGTGCTCCCATACTCATTGAGCTGGAAACATACCACTGCAGGAAATTGTCCTGAAAACACTTTTTGTAATTTTGTTACAAATTTTTCAACATCCTCCTCATTGGTTGATGGCCTATAGATTACACTGAGCAATGGAATTTCCCCATTTATTAATCTTCATCTGTAGCCAAATGGATTCTGTCCTTGAACACTTCTCTTCTAGCTGCATTGCTCTCCTCACCAGTACTGCCACCCCTCCTCCTTTTTCTATCATTCTGAACACTTTGTATCCAGGAATATTTAACAATCTGTCATAGAACATAGAACAGTACAGCATGGTACAGGCCCTTCGGCCCACGATGTTGTGCCGACCTATTATGCTACTAAGATCAATCTACCCTGCATACCCTACATTTTACTATCCTCCATGTGCCTATCCAAGAGTTGCTTAAAAGACTCTTAAAGTATCTGACTCCACTACCACTGCTGGCAGCGCATTCCACACAACCACCACTCTGTGTGAAGAACCTACCTCTGACATCTCCCCTATACCTTCCTCAAATCACCTTAAAATTATGTCCCCTTGTAATAGTCATTTCCACCCTGGGAAAAAGTCTCTGACTAACCACTCTATCTATGCCTCTCATCATCTTAAACCTCTATCAAGTCACCTCTCATCCTTCTTCACTCCAATGAAAAAAGCCTGAGCTCCCTCAACCTTTCCTCATAAGACCTGCCCTCCAGTCCAGGCAGCATCCTGGTAAATCTCCTCTGCACCCTCTCTAAAGCTTCCACATCTTTCCTGTAATGAGGTGACCAGAACTGAACACAGTATTCCAAGTGTGGTCTAACCAGAGTTTTATAGAGCTGCAGCATAACCTCATGGCTCTTAAACTCAATTCCCCTGCCAATGAAAGCCAACACACCATACGCCTTCTTTACAACCCTATCAACTTGGTTCGCCACTTTGATGGATCTATGGACATGGACCCCAAGATCCCTCTGTTCCTCCACACTGCCGAGAATCCTGCCATTAACCCTGTATTCTACATTTAAATTCGACCTTCCAAAATGAATCACTTCACACTGTCATGTTCTTTCTTCTTAACTAGGTCTCTGTTATTACCATAACATCATATTTCCACCTGGCAATCTGTGCCAGGAACTCACTCTCTTATTTACCACACTTGGTGCCTTCACATGCATGCTCAATAACCCTGAATTAGACTTTATTATTTTCTCCCTTACTCTGACCCCATCTATCAATTTACTTTTTCTTATTCAACTGCCATCTGCTTCTCCCAGTATTTTGTGAGGCTTGGTGTTCCTCGCTGATATTTGTCTTCTGGGACCCACAACCCTGCCAACTTAGTTTAAACTCTCCCTAATAACACATGCAAAACATCTCAATGATCTCAGACAATCAGTGGGAGAATTTGAGCAGTTACTGTCAATTAGAAATTAAGCAAAATATGGGTAAGCTGCGAAGGAGAGCTGGTGGAGAGTGGTGGTGCTGGGACAGAGTTGTTCATGGCGTGAGTGAGTTGTTTGACAGTGCTAGCCCTTCTACCATCACTTCTTAGCTTCAGTGATTCGAATACATGGAGGGTAAACCTGTGTCACAAGTATTTCACCTGATTCAATGTGTAACTTATTTTGTGTGTATTTCTAAACATACCTGGGATTGAGTCAAATTACCATTTGAGGTCAAGAGTATCCCAAAATGTTTAACTGGTGACACACCATGACACTGGCAATGCACTTATTGCCTTTGGGATCCTGAGACCATCCACCACTTTTAATAAATTATAATGGGGATACCTGGCATTCCAAATTGCCATAGGCAGAGATTGTTTTACTAGGAGTAATCATTTTGTTTCTTCTTTCAGCCTTACCCTGCCCAGAGCGGAGCCACTATGAGGTGTGTACCAGCAGCTGTCCAGCTACCTGCACTGACCTGATTTCTCCTTTGTACTGTACCAGGCCCTGCACCGAGGGTTGTCAGTGTGATGCAGGCTATGTACTCAGTGGTAGTAACTGTGTTCCACTTGAAGAGTGTGGCTGTGAATTCCATGAGCGATATTATTCCTTCAAAACAAAGTTCTGGGCAAATGATGACTGCACCCTACAGTGCCTGTGTGAGGGTCCTGGGGAGGTGCTCTGTATAAATGAAACTTGCTCAAAAGGAGAATTCTGTCTTGTGGAGAATGGGATCCGAGGGTGCTATCCCAAGAGAGCAGCTGTGTGTACAGTCTCACGCAATAACAGGGTACAAACATTCGATGGTGCTTCGTTTGATTTCCGGGATGAATATGCGTACACCCTGCTCAAAATCTGTGGCTCAAACAGTTACAATCTGTCTCATTTCGAAATCAAACTAGGAAGAAAGAAAATGGTTAATGGTTCTTGGATAAAATCACTGACTATAAAATTCCCTGATCATGAAATAAAGATTGGAGACAGTGAAAACATCATCAAGGTAAGAACCTAGAAAATATCATCACATATTCAATAATGTAACTCTCTGATACATCCACTTCCTTTCATTTTACAATATTACCATATCTTCAATATTTGCAGCAGAAGTCTCTAATATATCTTTTTCCACAGTCCTCACTGTAACACTAACCTACTCATACCTTCAAACATTGATATGTACTCTATATCCTTCACTATAACACATTGATATGCTCTATACCCTCATCTGTAACATTGTCTGATAGATCCCTCAGTAACACACTCTGATACACACCATACTCAGCACTAAAAACAATCTGAAACACTCTACCAAGCATTGTAATGCAATAGAAAGTGAATATTGCAGTGTGAGATGCTGGAGCATTCACAGCCAAGGTTATAGGAGATATACAGTGAGGGATGTATCAAAATATTACATTGAGGGGTGAAGGATTGACCAGAATATTATACTGCAAGATCTAGGACATATCAGAGTTACTACTCTGTGAATGAAAAAAATTCTCCACATATCACTCCTAAATGGCCTATCCCATATCCTTGATCCCTGTTTCTGGATTCCTCAGTCATTTGGAATGTCCTTCCTGCTAATACCCTGTCCAGTCCTGTAAGAGTTTTATAGGTTACTTTGAGACCCCCTCATTCTTCTAAACTCCAGTGAATATAGTCCTAACTGCTCCAGCCTCTCTTCATACATCAATCCTGCCATCCAGGAATCAGTCTGGTAAACCTTCATTGCACACACTCCATAACCAGAACATCCTTCCTTTGCTAGGGAGATCAAAACTGCACACAACATTCCAGATGTAATCTCATCGAGGTTCTGTACGATTGCAGCAAGACATCCCTACTTCTGTACTCAAATCCTCTTGCTATGAAGGCAAAAGTACCATTTGCCTTCTTCATCGCATGTTGAACCTGCCTGTTTACTTTCAGCAATTGATGTACAAGGACACACTGGTCTCATTGCAGTTCCCCTTTTCTCAATCTGTCACCATTCGGATAATAATCTGCCTTCCTGTTTATGCTCATAGAGTGGACAACCTCAAATGTATCCACATATACTTCATCTGCCATATATTTGCCCACTTACTCAACTTGTCCAAATCACACTGAAGCATCTCTTCTGCATCCTCTTCACAGATTATCCACCCACCTATTCTTATGTCATCTGCCAACTTGGAGATATTATGTTTAGTTTGGTCATCTTAATCATGAGTATATATTGTGAATAGCTGGGGTCCTAGCACTGATCCCTGCAGTACCCCACTAGTCACTGCCTACCATTCAGAAAAAGACCTGTTTATTTCTGCTCTTTAAAAACCGCAAGAACAGCAGATGTTGCAAAACAGAAGCAAAAACAGAAGTTTCTGCAAAAGCTCAGCTGGAAAAGAACAGTTCTGAGAAAGGGTCACCGGACCCAAAACGTTAACTGTAATTTTTTTTTTCACAGATGCTGCAAGATCTGCTGAGATTTTACAGCAATTTCTGTATTTATTCCTGCTCTTTGTTTCCTGGCTGCCAGCTAGTTCTCTTTCCATCAGAACATACCCCCAGTACCACATGCTTTAATTTTACGTTAATTTCTTATGTATGACTTTATAAAAAGCCTTCTAATAGTCCAAATAAACCACATCCACTGGTTGTCCCATATCAACTCTATTAATTGTATTCGAATAAAATTCCACTAGATTTGTCAATCATGATTCCCTTTTATAAATCTATGCTAATTCTGTCCAATCATGCCACAGTTTTCCAAATGTTCAGTTTTTTTTTTTATTCGTTCACAGGATGAGGGTGTTGCTGGCTACAGCAGCATTTATTGCCCATCCCTAATTGCCCAGAGGGCAGTTAAGAGTCAAATCACATTGCTGTGGGTTTGGAGTCGTATGTAGGTCAGACCAGGTGAGGATGGCAGTTTCCTTCCCTAAAGGACATTAGTGAACCAGATGGGTTTTTCCTGACAATTGACAATGGATTCACGGTCATCACTAGATTGCTAATTCCAGATATTTTATTGAATTCAAATTCCACCATCTGCCATGGCGGGATTCAAACCCAGGTCTCCAGAATGTTATCTGGGTCTCTGGATTAACAGTCCAGCAATAATACCACTAGGCCATCGCCTCCCCTATTAAATCTTTTATAATGGACTCTAGCATTTATCCACTACCAGTGTCAGGCTTGCTGGTCTATAATTCCCAGTTTTCCCTCTACCCTTTTTAAATAGTAGTGTTACCGTCCAATTCGTTGGTGCTGTTCCAAAACCTATCAAAAGATGGCCACCAATGCATCCACTATTTCTATGCCTCTTCCTTAACTACTCTGTGTGGTATTGTTGAGACCTGGGGATTTATCAGCTTTTCATTGCATCAGTTTCCCCATTTCCTTACTAACACTGACTGCATTCCATATCTCCCCAACATTTTGGAACATTATTTCTGTTCTCCTTTGCGGAGACAAAACCAAAAAAAGGTATTTAATTGGTCTACCATAATTTTGTTCCTCATTAGAACTTCCCTTGTTTCTGATTTTAAGGGATCTACATTTGTCTTCACTAATCTATTTTTCTTCACACATTGGTAAGGCTTCTTCTGGAGTATTGTGTGAAGTTCTAGTGGCCCTGGTATAGGAAGGATATTATTAAACTGGAGCGGGTTCAGAAAAGATTTACCAGGATGTTGATGGGAATGGAGGGCTTGAGTTATAAGGATAGGCTGGGACTTTTTTCACTGAAGCGTAGGAAGTTGAGGGGTGACCTTATAAAAGTTTGTAAAATCATGAAGGACATGGATAGGGAAAGACTTTTGTTATTCATGTTAAGGTGCAGGAGTTCAAAACTAGGGGGCATATTTTTAAGGTGAGAGGAGAAAGATTTTAAAAAGGACATGAGGGGCAACTTTTTTATACACAGAGTGGTTCATGTGTGAAATGAACTGCCAGAGGAAATGATGGATGCAGGTACAGTTGCAACATTTAAATGACATTTGGATAAGTTCATGAATCAGAAAGATTTGGAGGGATATTGGCCAAATGGAAGGTGGGACTAGTTTAGTTTGGATATATGGTCAGTGAGGACTGGTTGGACTTTGAACTCAATGGCATATCTATAGAAGCTTTAACAATCAATTTGTATATTTTCCGCAAGCTTACTCTGTACTCTGATTCCTCTCTTAAATAATCTCTTTGTCCTCCTTTGCTGAAATCTAAATTGCTCCCAACCCTCATGCGTGTTGCTCTTTTTGGCCAATTTGTATGTCCTTTCTTGGATCTGATGCTATCCCTAATTTCCATTGTCAGCTATGGCAGGCCACCTTTCCCATTTTAATTTTTGTGCCAGACATAAATGAACAAGTGTTACAGTTTCTCCATGTGCCCTTTAAATGTTTGCCATTGCCCATCCATCATCAGCCCTTTAAGTAATATCATCAATTTTCATAGTCAGCATACCATCATAATTTCCTTGATTTAGATTCAAGATCCTAGTCACAAAATCAACTACGTCATTTTCCATCTTAATGAAGAATTCTATCATATTATGGTCACTCTTTCCTAAGGGGCCTTGCACAACTAGATTGTCAATTATTCCTTTCTCATTATGTAATACCAAATCTAAGATGGCCTGTTCTCTAGTTGGTTTCCCATGGATTTGAGCCCAGTTAACAGTTTCAGTCTATAATGTGAGCTAGGCAGAGATGGGGGAAAGACAATGCAGTGGAATAATGGTAATATCATTGAAATAGAGGCCCGGGCTGCTAATATGCAGCACTGGTACAAATCCTAAGCTAGCATCTGATTGAATTTAAATTCAGTGAATATATTTGGGATTTGTCTCAGTAATTGTAGCCATGAAACAAGTATTATAAAAACACATCTAATATCCTTAGGGAAGAAAATTTGCTATTCTCACCTGGTCTGACCTACAGATGACTCCAGGCTCTCAGCAATCTGGCTGACTCTTAACTACCTTCTGAAATGGCCAAGCAAGAACATAAAACTTGGGAGAATTGTAAACTGTAAGGAGGACAGTGTACATCAAAAGGCAAAATGCAGTGGTAATATCCCCAACTTTGAACCAGGATGCTTGGGTTCAATTCCCACTGTTCCAGTGGTATGTAATAACATCCTTGAACAAGTTGGTTAGAAAGTAGTTTTTAGAACATCAAAAGGACATTGACAAGTTGGTGGAGTGGGTGGCTAGATGGCAGATGAGGTTCAACACAAGAGAAGTGTGAGGTCACACACTTTGGTACAAAGAACATAGACAAAGAGTACAATTCTAAAGGGTGTGCAGGAGCAGAAGGACCTGGGTGTACATATACATAAATTATTAAGGGTGTCAGGACAAGTAGAGAGTTATTACTAAAGCATTAGTATTCTAGTCTTCATTACTGGGGCTGTAGAGGTTATGATGAACTTATAGAGGACACTGGTCAGACCTCAGATGGAGTGTCGTGTGCGATTCTAACGCCTCACTTTAGGCAGGATGTGGGTCATTGGAGAGAAAGTTTGAGAATCGTTCAGGGATGAGAAACTTCAGTTACGAAGAAAGATTGGATGAATTGGGACTGTTTTACTTGGACAGCAGTAAATAAGACCAGATTTGAGAGAAGTTTTCAAAATCACGAAGGACCTAGACAGACTGCATTAGGAGTAACTGTTCTGACTTGTAAATGGATCAAGAACCAAAAGGCACAGTTTTAAAGCATTTTGCAAAAGAATCACAGAATCCCTACAGTGTGATAGCACGCCTATTGGCCCATCAAGTCCACGCCAACCCCCCAAACAGCATCCCACCCGGACCCAACTCCCCTACCTATCTATTCCCTGTAACTCTGCATTTCCCATGGCTAATCCACCTAGCCTGCACATCCCTGGGCACTATGGGCAATTTAGCATGGTCAATCCACCTAATCTGCATGCCTTTGGACCGTGGGAGGAAACCGGAGCACCTGGAAGAAACCCGTGCAAACGTGGAGAGAGTGTGCAAACTCCACACAGACAGTTGCCCAAGGGTGGTGTTGAACTGGGGTGCCTGTTGCTGTGAGGCAGCAGTGCTAACCGCTGAGCCACCATGCAAATTGAAGTTGAGAGAGAAAAACAACTTTTAACTCAGTGAATAGACTGCCTGGAAATGGAATGGAGGCAGGTTCAACTGAGGTTGTCAAGAGGTATTGGATGAGTATTTGGTTAGAAATAATGTGCAAGGTGATAAGAAAAAGACAGGAGATTGGCACTCGGTTCAAATGCTCAGAGAGCTGGTACAGACATGATGGACCAAATTGCCTCCTTCTGTCCTGTTTATAGGTCAATGCCTTTGCGATTTCTTTGCCGTTTATGCATTCATCTGGAAAATTGAAGATCTACAGAAATGGAAATGATACCATGGTGGAATTAAACAACAGTTTCCAAATCCTGTATTCGAGTGAGGATCGTGTGAATTTAACACTGTCCACTGCCTACTACAACAACACCTGTGGACTCTGTGGATACTTTAATGGTAATCCCACAGATGACTTCCGTAAAGCCAATGGAAAGGTGACAGAAAATGCTGCAGAATTTGTGGATAATTGGAAGACATTTGCTGATGATATGACATGCAACGGCCAGTGTGAGGAGCTGTACATTGTGTGTACAAATGAGGATTTAATTTTGTATCAAGGAATTTCTCTATGTGGAATAATCAATGATCCCACTAACAGCTCCTTCCTCAACTGTCATGAAGCTGTCAATCCTTCTCCCTTTTTCAGAAGTTGCCTGTATTCTATGTGTTTAAATGGTGGGAACATAACAGCCCTTTGCAGCTCCCTGCAGGCATATGCAGATGCTTGCCTTGGTGCCGAGGTCACACAAGCTAACTGGGGAAGTAGCACGTTTTGCCGTAAGTTATTGAATAAAGCAGGTACTCAGTGTCTGTAGCAATGTATCCTCCCACAGCCAGTGCCTGGAGTTTTGTAGCATGTGTAAATTGTGAATCTACGTAGCACCCTGTGTAAGTCAATCATACCCTTATGTAGATACGGAAACAAAAACTGAGCACAGTGCTCTAGATGCATTCTTTATAATGTTCTATTTAATTTCTCAACAACACCTGTTTAATTGCAACAGAATTTCCTCACGGTATATTTAAGCTTCCTTGCAATAAAGGGCAGCACAGCATTGTCCTCCCTTCCAGGTGCTCGTTAGCTTGATTATTATTTCCCACTCTCTTCAAAATGTCCAACAAACAATTACTGATGGATCTAGGGCAACTCAGAGGTTGAATTTGCCAGATAGCTGAGGAGTTTAATTGCCCCTCTTGGTGGTAACCATGCCACTCTTTATGTGACATAGAGTGGCAGTTTCAAATCCATACAAATTGGGAGGTTATTAAACCCTGCTCTGTCAATTGGGTCCTGACTAATTTACACCTCAAATCTGTTGACCACCCTGTGTCCCAGATCCCAGCTTGCTACGAGGGTCAATCTGATAGTGTCAGTTTTGTAAGTTCCATTGGAGAATGTTTGCGAAGACTGAGCAGAGCCTGATTCTTCAGGGTTGTTCTTTGATCCTCAACTGCTGTTGGGGGCGGATTGTCCCCAGATTCTCACAGCGCTCAGTTTTCCCAGTGCCCTTGGATGCCAAACTCAGTGAGTTGTGACAAGCTATTCAGCTATTTACCACTGGGGCATCACTGCCAAGCAATGTTGACCAATGTCCAGAGGGGTTCTACCTCCCTCATCCATGGGTTTCATAGAGTCACAGAGTCATACAGCATGCAGACAGACCCTTTGGTCCAACTCATCCATGCTGACCAAGTTTCCCATAATAAACTAGTCCTATTTGCCTGCATTTGGCCTATATCCTTCTAAACCTTTCCTATTCATGTACCTGTCCAAATGTCTTTTAAATGTAACTGTACATGCATCTTTCCACACACAAACCACCTCTGTGTGAAAAAGTTGTTGCTCAGATCCCTTTTAAATCTTTCTCCTCTCACTTTAAAATTATGCCCTCTCACTTAGAACTCCCCAACCCTAGGGAAAAACCCTTGCTATTCACTTTATCTATGCCCCTCATGATTTTACAAACCTCTATAACGTCGACCCTCAACCTCCAATAATTCAGTGAAAAAAGTCTCAACTTATCCAGCCTATCCTTCTTACTCAAACCCTCCAGTCCCAGCAACATAGTTGTAAGTCTTTTCCAAACCCTCTCCAATTTAATAATATCCTTCCTATAGCAGGGTGACCAGAAGTGTACACAGTACGCCAAAGGTGGCCTCACCAACGTCCTATGCAACTTCAACATGAAGTCCCAACTTCTAAACGCCTTCTTTTCCACTCTGTCTACCTGTCGGATGCAACGTTCAATGAACTATGTACCTGAACCCCTAGGTCTCTCTGTTTTACAACATTACCCAGGGCCCTACCATTAACTGTGTAAATCCTGTCATTGTTCATCTTAGCAAAATGCAATGCCTCACATTTATCCAAATTAAACTCCATCTGCCACTCCTCAGCCCATTGGCCCAATTGAACATGATCCCTTTGTAACCTTAATAATCTTCCCCACTGCCTACTTTACCATCAATTTTGGTGGAACACTGCTGACCACATACCTCCAGGCTGAAAAACAACCTTCCATGACCCCCCTCTGTCTCCTACCGTCAAGTCAATTTTGTATCCAGTTGGCAAGCTGTCCCTAAATCCTAAGTGATTTAACTTTACTATCCAGTCTACTACGTGGAACCCTTATCAAAGGCCTTACTGAAGTCCATGTAGACAACTATACCACTCTGCACTCCTCTATCTTCTTAGTCACATCCTCAAAAAACTCAGTCAAGTTTGAGAGACATGATTTCCCATGCACAAAGCCATGCTGACTATCTCTGATCAGTTGCCTTTCCAAATGCATGTAGATCCTGTCTTTCAACAACTTAGCCACCACTGACATCAGACTCATCAGTTTATAGTTCCCAGCCTTTCTTAACTAAAGGCACAACATTAGCCACTGTCCAGTCTTCTGGCACCTCACCTGCAGCTGTCGATCACAGAATCCCTATAGTGTGGGAACAGGCCATTCAGCCCAACAAGTCCACACTGCCCCTCCGAAGAGCATCCCACCCAACCCCAGCCCCCTATCCCTGCATTTCCCCATGTTTAACCCACCTAACCTAAACATCTCTGAACATTATGGGTGATTTAGCATGGCCAATTCACCTAGCCTGCACATCTTTAGACAGTGGGAGGAAACCAGAGGACCCAGAGAGGACCTACGGAGACAATATACAAATACCATACAGATGGTCGCCTGAGGGTGGAATCGAAAGCAGGTCCCTAGCACTGTGAGGCAGCAGTGCTAACCACTGAGTTACTGTACTTCTGCCACAGGCCCTGCAATTTTCTCCCTAGCTTCTTACAATGTTTTGGGATACACTTGATCAGGTCCCAGAAATGTATCTACCTTTATGCTTTCTAGGATCTCCAGTACCTCGTCTTTTGTAATCAAGGTCAACTTTGGGATTTCTGAGCTCAGGTAATTCAGCCCAGAATAGGGTAGGATTTTGGGGCCCCTGACAAGAGGCCAGTTTCCAGTGAGTGGAGATTCTTGCCAAGAAGGGTCAAGTGACCAGGACTGAAGGTGGCCAAAACCCTTCCTCTTTAACCTTTGCTCTCTTTTTCCATTAGCTCTTCCATGTCCTGACCATAGCCACTTTGCCGAATGCACCTCCGCCTGTCCAATGACTTGTGTCTCCCTGGAGCAGGATGTGGATTGTACGCTGCCTTGTGTGGAGGGCTGTCAGTGTGACCAGGGTTTTGTCCTAAAAGACGGTCACTGTATTCCAAAGAGCCACTGCGGCTGTATCTACGAAGGTTTGGAGGTCAGGACCAATGAAACTTTCTGGTTGGACAGAGACTGTCAAACTCGCTGCTACTGCAATGGCTCTGACAATGCGGTATATTGTGAGAGCGCCTCCTGTCGTCTTGATGAGTTTTGCTCTGGTGGACCTGACCTCTTTTCCTGCCTTCCCCGCACAGAGGCTGTTTGCATCGTGTCCGGTTACAGCCACTTGTACACCTTTGACACTCTGGCCTATGATCTGCAAAGTACCTGCTCCCACATCGTCAGCACTGTGTCCCCCAGCTCCCCACATCTGCCCCACTTCCTGGTCCAAGCTGAGAATGAAGACCGCAACACATCATTGGCTCTGTGGCTTCATCAAGTCGAGGTGAAGGTGTACAGCTACAGTATCACCGCTTCCAAAGCCTACAAACACACAGTGATGGTGAGCAAGGACTAGGCAGGGGAGTGGGGCTGAGTCCCAAATCTGTGAAGCTCTGCAAAACAGGGGCAGTAAATATCAGGTACTACTTGGGAAATGAGGCTTCTCTGTGTCCCTTATTCAGCATTTCCAGGGGAATTGGATAATTCTTGGCACATTACTGTTTTATTGGTTCAGGGGATGAGGGCACTTATTGCTGTGGGGGGTGGTAAGCTGACGGGGTGCCCATAGAAACCAACCAGATCATGGAGTAGATCAGCAGAGGGAGTGCGGGGATGCTGCTGGGTACTTTCCAATGAATTTAACTTGGAGAGGATATGGGATCCCTCCAGGGCGGGTGGGACCTGCGGTTGGGACCTGAAGTCCCAAGGAATGGTCACCACCAGGGAGCATCGTAGGAGCCAGTGTGCATTGCTAATCCTGACCACGATCTGCCCCATTGATCATTAACTGGAGAGTTTTCCTTCTGCAGGTGAACAAGGAGCGGGTTAATCTGCCCCTCAGACTGGGTCATGGCGAGGTCAATCTCTACTCGTTCAGTTTCTACCTGATTCTGGAAACGGATTTTGGTCTCAAGGTGATTTATGACTGGAACACGTTCCTAACGGTGACCGTCCCCAGGATCTTCTTCAATTCCACGCGGGGTCTGTGTGGCCAGTTCAATGGAGATCCGGCTGATGATCTCCAGACTGCCGACGGCGAGATCGCGGGAGATCTGCTGGAGTTTGCAGAGAGCTGGATGGTGGCGAGGACTGCGTTTTGTGAGCTGGGCTGTGACCGGGTTTGCCCCTCTTGTGAGCAGGTACTCAATCTCCCTGTGGATGTGCTGCAACTCTGTGCCCTCATTGTGTCCAAAGACAATGTCTTCAGCCGCTGTCACGCGAAGGTGAATCCCACTTTCTTTTACCACAATTGTATTTTCGACACGTGCATCGACCGTGGAGACCGGCAAACCGCCTGTAACTGGCTTCAGAGCTATGGCAGCAGCTGCCAGGCTCAGGGAATTGTTCTGGCCGGCTGGAGAAACCTGACCATGTGCAGTAAGTCTCAGTGTCACCTCACCTTCTCATATTCCTGACTTCAAAACTCTTACATCTCACTGAGTGAGGGCTCCTTCACTGTCTGCTTCTCAATGTTCATTCAAAGGTAGTAAGAACTGCTGATGCTGGAGTCAGAGATAACACAGTGAGGAGATGGAGGAACACAGCAGGCCAGGCAGCATCAGAGGAGCAGGAAAGCTGATGTTTTGAGCCTACACTCTTTTTCAGAAATGGGGGAGGGGAAGGGGATTCTGAAATAAATAGGGAGAGAGGGGGAGGCGGATAGAAGATGGATAGAGGAGAAGAAAGGTGGAGAGGAGACAGACAGGTCAAAGAGGCGGGAATGGAGCCAGTAAAGGTGAATGTAGGTGGGAAGTTAGGGAGGGGATAGGTCAGTCCACGAGGACGGACCGGTCAAGGGGGCGGGATGAGGTTTGTAGGTAGGAGGTGGGGGTGCAGCTTGAGGTGGGATGAAGGACAGGTTAGGGAGGCGGGGACGAGCTGGGCTGGTTTTGGGATGCGGTAGGGGGAGGGGAGATTTTGAAGCTTGTGAAGTCCACATTGATACCATTGGGCTGCAGGGTTCCCAAGCAAAATGTGAGGTGCTGTTCCTGCAACCTTCGGATAGCATCGTTGTGGCACTGCAGGAGGCCCAGGATGGACATGTCGTCTAAGGAATGGGAGGGGGAGTTGAAATGATTCGCGACTGGGAGGTGCAGTTGTTTGTGGTAAACCAAGCATGGGTGTTCCACAAAGCGGTCCCCAAGCCTCCGCTTGGTTTCCCCGATGTAGAGGAGGCCACAACGGGAACAGTGGATGCAGTATGCCACATAAGCAGATGTGCAGGTGAGCATCTGCTTGATGTGGAAAGTCTTCTTGGGGCCTGGGATGGGAGTGAGGGGGTAGGTGTAGGGGCAGGTGTAGCACTTCCTGTGGTTGCAGGGAAAAGTGCCGGGTGTGGTGGGGCTGGAGGGGAGTGTGCAGCGGACAAGGGAGTCACGGGGAGAGTGGTCCTTCCGGAAAGCAGATAAGGGTGGGGAAGGAAAAATGTCTTTGGTGGTGGGGTCGGATTGCAGATGGCGGAAGTGTCGGAGGATGATGCGTTGGATCTGGAGGTTGGTAGGGTGGTACATGAGAACAAGGGGGATTCTGTTTTGGTTGTTATTACGGGGAGGGGGTGTGAGGGATGAGTTGCGGAAAATGCGGGAGACATGGTCGAGGGTGTTCTCGACCACTGAGGGGGGGAAGTTGCGGTCCTTGAAAAACGAGGACATCTGAGATGTTCGGGAGTGGAATGCCTCATCCTGGGAGCAGATGCGGCGGAGGCAAAGGAGTTGGGAATAGGGGATGGCATTTTTGCAGGAAGGTGGGTGGGAGGAGGTGTATTCTAGGTAGCCGTGGGAGTCAGTAGGCTTGAAATGGATATCGGTTTTCAGCTGGTTGCCAGAGATGGAAACAGAGAGGCATCAGAGATGGTCCAGGTGAACTTAAGGTTGGGATGGAAGGTGTTGGTGAAGTGGATGAACTGTTCGAGCTCCTCGTGGGAGCACGAGGCGGCGCCAATACAGTCATCAATGTAACGGAGGAAGAGGTGGGGTTTAGGGCCAGTGTAGCTACGGAAGAGGGATTGTTCCACATAACCTACAAAGAGGCAGGCATGGCTTGGGCCCATGCGGGTACCCATGGCCACCCCCTTTGTCTGTAGGAAGTGGGAGGAATTGAAAGAGAAGTTGTTGAGGGTGAGGACAAGTTCAGCTAAGTGGATGAGGGTGTCAGTGGAGGGGGACTGGACAGGCCTACGGGACAGGAAGTAGCGGAGGGCCTTTAGGCCATCTGCATGGGGAATGCAGGTGTATAGGGACTGGATGTCCATGGTAAAGATGAGGTGTTGGAGACCAGGGAATCGGAAGTTTTGGAGGAGCTGGAGGGTGTGGGTGGTGTCACGGACGTAGGTGGGGAGTTGCTGGACCAAGGGGGAGAAAATGGAGTTGAGGTAAGTAGAGATAAGTCAGTGGGGCAGGAGCCGACGGAGACAATGGGTCGACCAGGGCAGTCAGGTTTGTGGATTTTGGGAAGGAGATAGAAACTGGCGGTGCAGGGTTGGGGAACGATGAGGTTGGAGGCTGTGAGTGGGATGTCACCTGAAGTGATGAGGTTGTGGATGGTTTGGTAGATGATGTTTTGGTGGTGTTTCAAAATCTCCCCTCCCCCAACCGCATCCCAAAACCAGCCCAGCTTGTCCCTGCCTCCCTATCCTGTCCTTCCTCCCACCTATCCCCTCCTCCCACCTCAAGCCCCACCCCCATCTCCTACCTACTAACCTCATCCTGCCCCCTTGACCTGTCCGCCCTCCCTGGACTGACCTATCCCCTCCCTAACTCCCCACCTACACTCACCTTTACTGACTCGATCCTCGCCTCTTTGACCTGTCTGTCTCCTCTCCACCTATCTTCTCCTCTATCTATCTTCTATCTGCCTCCCCCTCTCTCCCTATTTATTTCAGAATCCCCTTCCCCTCCCCCATTTCTGAAGAAGAGTCTAGGCCCGAAACGTCAGCTTTCCTGCTCCTCTGATGCTGCTTGACCTGCTGTGTTCAGCTCTACACCTTGTTATCCCCTTTTTTGAAAGCCTCCATTGAACCTTGCCCTACGACCCTTAGGCCTTACCCTCCTGCTGTGAACCACTTGGTGTGAATCACGGAATTACTGCTGAGCAGCAGGAGGCCAGTGGGCCTATTGTACACCAGCTCCTGTTATCTAGCCTGGCTGTGAAAATGCCCTCCCTCACATTGGCACAAGCACAAAAGGCAATCAGTCTGATTCTCAGTATTTCTGTCCATGTGTACACTTTCTTCTAATCAACTCTGCCCAGACTCTAACGCACCTCCTGTAAAGAGCCGTAGCTTCACCAACCGGAACTCCCTTCTAAAGTTGAATCAGAGATAGTAGGAACTGCAGATGCTGGAGAATCCGAGACAACAAGGTGCAGGGCTGGACGAACACAGCAGGCCAAGCAGCATCATAGGAGCAGAGAGGCTTTTTTTTTTAACGTTTCGGGCCTAGACCCTTCATCAGAAAAGGGGGAGGGGAAGGGGGTTTTGAAATAAATAGGGAGAGAGTGCGAGGCGGATAGAAGAGGGATAGAGGAGAGGATAGGTGGAGAGGAAACAAACAGGTCAAAGAGGCGGGGATGGAGCCAGTAAAGGTGAGTGTAGGTAGGGAGTTAGGAAGGGGATAGGTCAGTCCAGGGAGGATGGACAGGTCAAGGGGGTGGGATGAGGTTGGTCGGTAGGAGATGGAGGTGCGGCTTGAGGTGGGAGGAAGAACAGGTTAGGGAGGCAGGGACGAGCTGGACTGGTTTTGGGATGCGGTAGGGGGAGGGGAGATTTTGAAAGTTGTGAAATCCACATTGATACCATTGGGCTGCAGGGTTCCCAAGCAGAATATGAGTTGCTGTTCCTGCAACCTTCGGGTGGCATCATTGTGGCACTGCAGGAGGCCCAGGATGGACATGTCGTCTGAGGAATGGGAGGGGGAGTTGAAATGGTTCGCGACTGGGAGGTGCAGTTGTTTATTGCGAACCGAGCATAGGTGTTCTGCAAATCTGCTCCTATGATGCTGCTTGGCCTGCTGTGTTCATCCAGCCCTGCACCTTGTTGTCTCCCTTCTAAAGTGTCTGATTTCAGGGACCATCCTTGCAAATATTCTCTGCCCTTGATCTAATGTGTTTGTCTCCTTCCCAAAGTGTCATGCCCAGAACTGGATGCAATTTTCCCATTGAAGCTGAACCAGCATATTAAAGTTCACCTCTTTCTGCTTGTTTATGAAGCCCAGGATCCTGTACATCCTTAACCACTTTTAAACCTACACTTCCACATTCAATGAGTTCTATTAATATATCCTGCATTCCTTAGCTCCTGCATCCCCTTCAAGGTACCCTTTAGTTTATATTGTCGTTCCTTGTGCTTCTTCCCAAAATGTATCACTTCACACTTTTTGCATTAAATGTCGTCTTGAAGTCTATCTTTATCCTCCTCATTGTATATAATACTTTCAAGTTTCTTTTTGCAAATATGAAGTTTTACCTGTGTACTGAAGCCTGGCCAATGAATGTCTAGCAAGAACAGCAGTGCTCCCAATACCAATCTCTGCAGAATTGAGCTGTATACGTTCTTCCAGTTTAAAAAAAACTGTTCATCAGTACTCTGTTTCCTGCCACTTAACCAATGTGATACCCCTGCAGACACTACCCCTTTTGTTTTCTGGGGTTTAACTTCACTGGCAGACCTGTTTATGTCGCACCTTTTCAAATGTCTTTTGAAATCCTTGCATACATTTAGAAAGTGGAACAGTGGAATCAGTCCTGATTTATGCTGTTTCTTGGCATTTTTACTGTACACTGACATTTGATGAGGAAGAAGCCTTCTTTTGAGTTGTTGGTCAAGGTTATTGATTGTTGTTAAACTGATTGAAGGGACCTTTATCCTGTTGCTGCATGGGTACAAACACAAGATGCAGTTGTCAAGATTGGAATTTATTCTGGGTAAATGTTACTCTGCAATATCATTGGACAAAGTGGTTATTTTGTATTATTTGGGGAATTACTCTAATGTATTATTGATTTTATTGAATTAGGATAAGGGGAAATGTTTCCAACTTGGGATTATTACCGTTTTTCCCATTGGCTCGACCTTGGGTCGATTTGTGCTGAATTTGATGGGGTTAGGAAGTTGCTCAATGGGATACTCGACTGTCCTGATTGGTTACTTTCGTTGATGACAAATTTAACTATTTTATGCTAATTTTTGGTTAACAAGCTGTCTGGATCTTGGAAAATAATTCTTCAAACTTTAAACTAGAGGCTTTAGAATCATTGGTATTCAACCTATTTCAAGTGATTAATTAATGAAAATGTGAGGCATTTGAATCCTGATGTGGGCCATATTTAATAAAGTTACACATTTGCTTCTGAGAAGGCTGTTGCTAAGTGGAAACAATTCGGGGACAATTAAGTTAAATTAATGGAATCCAAATGGTAAATTACAATACTGAATTTATTTTTTAGTAAATGTTTTGCATTTGATTTCCTTCCCATAGTGATCAACTGTCCTGCAAACAGTCACTATGAGAGCTGTATGTCTGTGTGCCAACCGGGGTGTGGCACCATCAAAACTCACCAGGACTGCAGTCGTTATTGTGTGGAGGGCTGTCAGTGTAACGATGGCTTCCTGCTCAATGGCAGAACGTGCATCCTGCCCCAGGACTGCGGCTGCTTGGCAGATGATAATTACTATGAGGTAGGTCAGAAAGTTCTTCTGAAGCTGGATCTTTGCAGACTTAATGATTTGATAAAATTTTCAAAGAGAAACTATTTTGTCTGATGGGATGTCCAGAACAAGGACAGAACTTTATAATTCATGCCAGGAATAAGGAATAATTTCTTCATGTGACGTGTAAAGAAAATTTAAAACTCTCCCTCAAAAAGCCTTTGAAGTCAGAGGTCAAATGATAATTTCAAATTGGCAAAGGTTTTAAGAGATAAAGAACCAAGGTGGGTTCAAAACTTGAGATGTGGATCAACTGTAGATGAATTAAAAGCAGCAGCAGCAGCACTCGAGGACCTGAAAGATTTTCCCAAGGACTGGTTTGATGGAGCTTTGTAATATATTGTTATTGGGAGACTTGGGTTCTAAAGTGGACAGAACCAAGTCGAGCAACCTTGAAGGATTTGAATGGCCTACTCCTGCTCCAAATGTCTATGTACTGCTTTAAGCTTGGTTTGTATTTCTAGATTGTGTGTGTCATGAGGGAAGATATGGCTTCAGTTTAATTTTACATTTGTTCTGTGAGTAGTGACAGGGTGCCTGAAGTCTGTTGATACATACATTTTTCATAAGGTTTTACAGCAGTGGAGTAATAATTGAGGTGAACAGTTCATTGCATTAAAAACAAGAGAGAAAAGACCGCTGATGCCCTAGCGACCGGAGTCCAAAATACCGAAAGACAAAGCAACTAGAAGGTCAAGTAAATGTATGCAGGTTGAGTCAGAGAGAGCTGCCAGTGTTAGCAGTCTCCTCAACAGTCAGGGCTGGGGAACAAGTCCTGAGTAACAGAACAAGGAACTTTAAAATGGAGACACGGTGATCCTTCACTGAAGTTTGAGTACTTTTGAGATTTTTGTTGAGGGTAAATCTTTATTGCTGATATTTGTGATAAGATTCTTTATAAATAGTTCTTGTACAGTTTAGTATAGTTTTTTTTTCATTTGTAATAATTTTTTTGTTAATTTTGTTAAATTGCAACTTGTGAATATGTTAAGTGACTGACCTCCATGGTAAGCAAACATCAAAAATAAAATGTTTGGTTTATCAATACAGGTTTGACTTTGGGATGTAACTTTACTATCCATTTATTACTGTCTCTTGGAATCATAACACAGTTCAAGCTGAAAATGATGGAAATCCTCTCTCTTTGAAACATGTTTAAACATTTCTTCTTTCTCAGCACTGTGCATGGTACTGGCTTGACCAGAATTTATTGTCCATCCCTAACTGCGCTTGGATAGGTTGTTGAAGCTGCCTTCTTGAATTGTTGTAGTCCTTGGGGAGTAGGAACATCCCCAATGCTATTAGGGAGAGAATTCCAAATTTTTGATTCAGCAGCAGTGAAGGAAATGTGATATATTTCCAAGACGAGATGGCTTGTAGGGACACCTAATGGGGCTAGTGTTCCCATGCATCTACTACCTTGCACTGCTGTAATAGCCTGTGTGAGTTGTTGCCATGCATCTTGTAGATGGTACACACTGATATCAATGATGGTGGGGGGCGTGAATATTTCAGGAGTTGCCAATCGAGTGGCTGCTTTGTCCAGAATGGTGTTAATCTTCTTGAGTGTTATTGGAGCTGCACCCATCCAAACAAGTGGGGAATATTCCATTACACTCTGCCTTGTGCTTTGTAAATAATGGCCAAGCTTTGGGGAGTCAAGAGGTGAATTACTCACTGCAGATTCCTAGCCTCTGACCTGCTGTTGTAGCCACGATATTAATGTGCAGCTGAGTTTCTGGTCAATGGTAATCCCCAGCATGTTGATAATCAGTGATTCAGTGATGGTAATGGCACGGAATGTCAGGTGGCAATGGTTAGATTCTGTTTTGTCGGAGATGATCATTGCCCCTCACTTGTGTGTCATGAATGTTACTTGCCACTTGTCAGCCCAAGCCTGGATAATGTGCAGGTCTTACTGCACTTGAACATGAACTGCTTTAGTACCTGAGGAGTCATGATTGGTGCTGAACATTGTGCAATCATCAGCGAACATCCCCACTTCTGACCTTATGATGGAGGGAAGGTCCTTGATGAAGCAGCTGAAGATGATTGGGCCTAGGACACTGTCCTGAGGAACTCCTGCAGAGATGTCCTGGAGCTGAGATGATTGACCTTCAACAACCACGACCATCTTCCTTTGTGCCAGATATGATCCACCCAGTGGAGAGTTTTTTCCCCTGATATGCTTTGATTCCAGTTTTACTCGGGCTCCTTGGTGCCACACTCAGTCAAATATGGCCTTGATTTTAAGGGCTGTCACTCTCACCTCATTCTGGAATTCAGCTCTTTTGTCCATGTTTGGACTAAGGCTGTAATGAGGCCAGGAGCTGAGTGGCCCTGGTAGAACCCAAACTGGGCGTCACTGGGCAGGTTATTGCTGAGCAGGTGCTACTTGATAGCATTATCGATGATATCTTCCGTCACTTTATTGATGATCGAGAGGAGACTGATGGGGCGGTAATTGGGCGGGTTGGATTTGTCCTGCTTTTGTGTACAGGACATACCTGGGCAATTTTCCACATTGCTGGAGAGATGCCAGTATTGTAGTTGTACTACAACAACTTGGCTAGGGGTACAGCAAGTTCTACAGCAAAGTTCTTTAGTACTGTTGCTGGAATGTTATCATTTGCAGTATCCAGTGCCTCCAACTGTTTCTTGATGTCACATGGAGTGAACTGAATTAGCTGAACTCTGCTTTCTGTCATGCTGGGACCACTGGAGGAGGGTGAGTTGGGTTATCCACTCTATACTTTTGGCTAAAGATTGCTGTGAGTGCTTCAACTGTCTGTTTGTTTTTATTCTGTACGACTGGGTTCTCCTATCATTGAGGATGGGGATATTTTTGGAGCTGCCTCCTCCAGTAAGTTGTTTAATTGTCCACCACTATTTGCAACTGAATGTTCAAGAGTGTGAAGCTTAGATCTGATCGGTTGGCTCTGGGATTGCTTAACCCTGTGTACTTTTTTTTAAACAATCTATGTAACTGGGACCAGTGATGAGTTTATCATTTGATATAAAAATGAATCAATTACAGGTTCTCTGCTGTCCCGTGAATAGGGTCATTTGTTGGGTTTGGTTTTCCTGAAAATGTTTGTCTTTATCAGCCAGGGCAGTTTTTCTGGAACACTAACTGCTCCAAACACTGTCGCTGCATGGGACGCAATATGGTCCAGTGTGATTCACGCCAATGCAAGAATGAGGAATCATGTTTAATCCGCAATGGAATCAGAGGCTGCTACAGTAAGAAAGACTCTTCTTGCATCGCTGCTGGGGGAGGCATATTCCAGACCTTTGACGGGGCATTCCTGCGATTTCCTGCTGCCTGTTCATTTGTCCTCTCCACAATTTGTCACAAACTTCCAGACATATCCTTTCAACTGATTGTAAATTTTGACAAATGGAGTTCACCCAACATGACTGTGATCTCCCCTGTTTACCTGTATATCAATGAAGAACAGATTCTCATCTCAGGCAACAATGTGCAGGTAAACCTTTACACTCCTTTGTCTGCACATTGATTCTTGCTCATGCATTTTCACTCTGTCATTTTGATACACCAACAGTTCTGTCTAATCTTTACATTTGTGTTACTTGTACATTCATTCTTTTGTGAATACATTTTCTCTCTCCCATTAATTCCCAATCTGTTGCATCCATTTCCTCCATATATTCTCTAACATTTATCCTCTCCTACCTCATTACTCTATCTCTCACATTCATTGTCACCTTGTAACATCTATTTCTTAATCCCCTCACTTGAATGTTTTATGCAAGCATACGTTTTATTTTCTCATACATAAATAATCCACATGTCACTTTCATTGCCTCTTGTGCTTTCCTTCTTGCTTTCAGCTACAGCTCAATAGGTTGCCTTCTAACCCCTGAATTAAAAGGTTGTGGGTTTGAGGTCACTTGCAGAGGCTGGTGCAGTGCAGAATGACTGCTGTAGTGCTAGAAGTTCTGTGTTTCAGAGGAGGCATTAAACTAAGGACTTGTTTGTAACTTTCAGGTGAATATAAAAGATTACACAGCAATATTCAAATCAGAGCAGTGACATTCTCCTCAGTTTCCTGCTGAATATTCATCATTCAACCAAAATCATTGAAGTAGATTATCAGTGGATTATCATGTTGTTTTTGTGACAGTAGCTGTAGCCAAATAGGCTGGCACTTTTTCCGCACTATAACTATCCCAAGTATTTAATTCATTGTAAAGTGCCATGGGATATCCTGAAGTTACAAAAGGCACTGTATAACTGCAACTCTCCATTTATTTCTTCACAATTATTTCTCCCCCACAATTTTATGTTTTCTCATATTCATTAATTTCCTCTTTTACTGTGTCACATTCTTCTACCACTTTAAATTTCCTTACATAATATCTCAAAGTTATTTATAAATTTCTACTCCCAATTATTCTCTCAACGCATCTTAAATTCCTTCTCTATCTTACATTGATTCTCTTTCATTTAATTCTCTCAATCATTTCTCTTGGTCATCTCCTATTCTCTCTTCCCTTTATTCATTTCATCAATTATTCTTTCACCTACATTCTCACTCTCTGTCCTTTTCTCTAACTCAAACTGTTCCGTTATCTCTGTCTGCCTCTTCCAATCTCTCTGGCTAATTCTCCCTAAATCACTGACTAACTTGGCTAACTATTTTTGTAGTCTCTCCCTTGTGAGCTAGTGAAAACTGGACATTCCCCTGATAACTAAAAAGTTAATCTATGTGAATTTGCTGAAAATACTTGCTCAAAAAAATCTTCACCAAACTATTCATAATGTCCTATGTAAGAAGAGACCTCTGTTGATGAAGAAATGTGCAGAACTATGCCTCTTCCCAAAACTATAACTAATACTATCCTATCTGCCAGGTGAATGGAACCATTGTTACAATTCCTGTTGCCACAGGACTAACAAAGATCTCGACTGCTGAGGGATTTCTAATCATTGATACTGTTCAAGGTATTCAGATCCAATACAACTGGTTTAATTTGCTGTCTATCAGAATGGGGGAACGTCTACAAAACAAGGTGTGTGGTCTTTGTGGAAATTTTAATGGAAACCCCAGTGATGATGATTTAAGTTCTCGAGGAAAACCAGCACAAACTGTCTTGGAATTGGCAAAGAGTTGGAAAACCAATGGCATGCAGAACAGGTAAAGTTCTAAATGATCACCCTCTTACTCTGAGATTGTGTTCCTTGTTTTAGAACTACCACCTGGGGAAACAGCAACGGAGCATCTACTGCATCAAGCTGCCCAAGAATTTTGTTAATATCATCCCTCACTCCGCTAATCTCTGGTGGCTGTTGGCTTAGTTGTTGGAGACACAGGGTGGTGGAAGGCTGTTTGCCTGGGGGCTGGTGTGCAGTGGTGTACCATAGGGACCACTGTTGGGTCGCTTATTGTTCATGATGTATGTAAACGATATTGATGAAAATTTAGGGGCAGGGGATGATAAATAAGTTTGCAGATGACACAAAGATTGGCTGGGTGATTGACAGTGAGGAAATCGAGGATTTAGATGGATTGGTCAGTTGGGAAAATCAGTGGTAGATGGCATTTAACCCTGAAAAGTGGGAAATGATTCACTTTGGAAGAAGTAACAAGACATGGGACTACTCACTGCATGTCAGGACATTAGGAAACTCAGAGGTACAGAGGGATCTTGTGGTGCTTGTCCACTGATCCCTACAGGTGGCAGGACAGGTTAATAGGGTAGTTAAGAAAGCATATAGGTCATTTGCCTTTATCAGTCGTGGCATAGACTATAAGAACAAGGAGGTTATGTTAGAGCTAAACAAAACTTTGGTTAGGCTACAGCTGGAGCACTGTGTGCAGTTCTGGGCACCACACTATAGGAAGGATATGATAGCACTGGAGGGGGTGCAGAGGAGATTCATCAACATGTTGCCAGGGATAGAACATTTCAGTTATGAAGAGAGGCTAGAAAGGCTTGGGTTGTCTTCTTTAACACATTGAAGGCTGAGAGGGGATTTGATTGGATGTATATGACTGAGGGGCATGGAACAGGGTGAATAGGAAGCAGCTGTTTCCCTTAGTTGAAGGATCAAGCAAGCATAATCTTGAGATGAAGGTCAGGAGATGTAGAGGGGAATTGAGGAAAAGCTTTTTCACTCAGAGGGTGTTGGGAATCTGGAATGCATTGCCGTTGAGGCAGTAGCAGCAAGAAACCTCACAACCTGTAAAAAGAATATGGATGAGCACTTAAAAGGTCATAACTTGAGGCTATTGACCAAGTACTGGAAAATGTGATTAGTGTAGCTAGGTTAGTTCAGACTTGATGGGCTGAAGGCCCTCTTCTGTGTTGTATGATGCCAAGATTTTAAGATAAAATTCTCATTTCTCTTTGTCTTTCAGAGTTTCAGTTGCAAAGTGACCAAGTCTAGTTCTTAAATATTCTGGAGTATTAGACATTTTGGAAGAACTGGAAGCTAGAAAGAGTAGTGCGATAGTTATGTTTATTAAGGATGACATTAATACAGTCGTGATAAATTATATTATTTCAGAAAATCTAGATGTAGAATCAGTATGGGTAGAGACAAGATACAGAAGGAGTGAAAATTCATTTGTAGGAGTAGTTTGGGCACCCCCTGATTGCAATTACACTGTAGGACAGTACATCGAGGGAGAAATAGTTGGGGGAGCATTGTGACAAAGTTACAGCAATAACTATGGGTGATTTTAATCTTGTATAGATTGAACAGATCATATTGGAAAAGGAAGCCTGGAAAATTAGTTCATATCATGTAATCAGGACAATTTCTTAGAGCAGTAGGTTCTAGCATGAACCGGGGATCTGACTATTTTAGACCTGGTAACATGCAATGAGACAAAAATATAATAATCTCTTAGTAAAGGAGCATCTAGACAACAGTGATCTTAAACAATAATGAAGTATTGGAGAAACTCAGCCAGTCTTGCAGCATCTGTGGAAAGAAAAACACAGTTAATGCTTTGAGTCCAATATGACTTCTTAAGAATGGATCATAGCATGTGGAATTTGAGGGTGATAAGAGTAGTGAATTGGCAAATAGGCTAAAAGATAGGAGAGGAGAGAAGCAATAGCAGGGTTTCAAGGAGACTCTCCATAAATCTCAACAGAAATATATTCAATTGAGAAAGAAAGTCTCTAAGAATGACACACCATTTGTGGCTAACAAGGAAGTTGGGGTACCATCAAACTGAAAGCAAAAACCTGCAATATTACAAATAATAGTCGGTCGGAAGATTACCAGATTTTGGAAACCTGCAAATAGTGTCCAGAGAAAAGGAAGGGAAAATTAGAGTTCGAGAGAAAACTAGCTAAAAGTATAAAAGTAGATAGTATGTTTTTTGACAAGTAGTTTCAAAGGAAAAAAGTGACTAAAGCAAGTGTTGGTCCCTTTAGAAGGCAAGACTGGATAATTAATATAGGAAACAAGAAATACCAGAAATGTTTAACAAGTATTTTGTATCTGTCCAAATAATAGAGGGCAAACAACAAACAAGAATACTTGAAAATCATGAGGTACGAAAGATGGAGGATATACATAAACACTACAATCATTAAGGAAAAGGTGCTAGGAAAACCATTACAGCTAAAAGGCTAACAAGTCCCCTGGACATGATGGCTTACATCCTAGGGTCCTAAAGTAAATGGGTCCAGAGATAGTAGTTTGTTGGTTATGATCTTTCAAAATTCTCCAGATTCTGGGAGGGTCCAGAAAATTAGAAAATTGTAAATCTAACACCACTATTCCAAGAAAGGAGGCAGTCAAAAAACAGGAAAGTATAAACCAGTCATCCTAACATTTGTGATAACAAGGTGTAGAGCTGGTTGAACACTTCCTGTTTTTTGACTGCCTCCTTTCTTGGAATAGTGGTGTTAGATT